AATTAAAAAAAAAATTAAATAAATAAATAAATAAAATAAAATAAATATTTTTTTTAAAGGGGGGGGGTAGCTGGAGAGATGGCTTAGCAGTTAAGAGTGGCTACTCTTGCAGAGAACCTGGGTTTGATTCCCAGCACCCACATGGTGGCTAACAACTATGTGTAACTTCAGTTCCAGGGGAATCTGACTCCCTCTTCTGACCTCTGTAGGCATTGCACAAGATGGATGGACTTACATACATGCAGGCAATATACTCATACACAAAAAATAAAATAAAATAAGCAAAATATTTAAAGTTATTCAGTGAATAGCAATTTGAGAAATGTAAGGAAGTTAATATGAAGTAAATTAGTTTTAGGCTCACAAAATATGCTATATGTAGGAGCCTAGGAATAAAAATTAAGAAGCATTTTATGACCTTAATCTTAAAGCCACTTTCTTTTTTCTTTAATAAAAACCAAGTATTAGGTAAGTACTAGTCAATGTTTTGAAGCTTGACAATATTTTAAGGCCTGGCATGTCAACTTCCAACATCTTGAGTATACTCTCACATGAACTTAAAGTTAATACATTAGGGTAAAGCTAAATCTGGGAACTCACACTGTTTCGGAACACAATGAGTAGTCCTGACTCCATGGCTCTGCTCTCCCACCCAGCCTCTGGTCTTTAATGTGTCCATCTGACTTCTTGGAGAACTTAGAAATACAAAAGTGAGGAAGATCAGATCAGATGCAAAAGGAAAGTGGCTGGTCAAAAATGAAGACAGCATAACATTCTGACTCATGACACTAGGAGCACTGAAAAAAAACCCTGAAAATATTTAATTACCAAAGATTAAATTCTCAAATAATCTGTTCTCCTTGAAATAAGCTAGACAATCATGTGACTCGCCTTCACTTTACTTACGAGACTTCCAGGATCTCTGTGTATTTGCGTTTTACTTGTTAGAATTATCAAGTGAACCCAAATCCTGAGCTTATACATTTTTGTCTGCTTTTCAGAGACAAAGGCAAGGTGCCACTTCCTTCTGCTGCTCTCATCTATTTCTTCAAATTGCTGGAGTATTTCATTAACTAGCAATTTCATAAGGAAAATTCTTATGACCCAGGTGACTTTAATCTTGTCTCTGAAGTATACAGTACTAAAATGTAATCACTAGATGCCTCAAGGACTCTGTGCGTGTGTGTGTGTGGTGAGATGGGGAAGAATGAAAGAAAAATGAAATGCAGAGAGAATGTGAGGGGATAAAAGCGAAAGGAAGGGAAGTGGGAAGAAATGGAAAGATAGACAGAAGGAGACAGGATAGAGGCAGAAAGTGAGACAAACACTGTGGGAACTGTGTGTGCTGAGTAGGTCGAGAAAACTCTCTGTTCCCTGAGAGCCCTACTTTAACCAGTGATTCACTTTTCTACATGAGAATTTTAAGTAAGAATTCACTTGAGCTGCATATATCAAATTCTAAACTGAAGCAGGAGAGTTGTAAGTTCAAGGCCAGCCTCTGCTACATAGTAAGATCCTGTCTAGAAACAAAACCAAAAACAACAACAAAAAAGAATTCACTTGGGCAAAGGACTCTAAAGCTAACAGATAATTCTATTTTGTAAGCCACTACTCTATACAATGTCCAGGCAAACTATGGAGCTAGTTCTCTTTCCACCACCCCTCTCTAAAAACAATGGTACCTTACAAAGCATTGTCTTATCAGTTCACTTTTACCTATGATGTGAAGCTACTGGAAGAAGAGAGTTTCCATGACCACCTTCTTTAAGTCGCTCCAGTAACTTTCGGTACTTCTCTCTCTCTTCTTTCTGGACACCCTGAATAATAAAAAAGCATGGCTGGTAAGACACACATACATAACCTAAAAATCAAGTCACAATCAGAGACTGCCAGGTGAAATGCAGCCCACAGATCCATTTTACTTGCTAGCACAATGTTTTAAAAGTTTCTTTTAATTAAATATCAACTTTATAAATTTTTTCCTAATTCAAAAGTTTGACCTCTTTTGAAAACGGCATCGACAACCTGGAGCTATGTTAGAGCTCTCCTTTGGGCTGGCCATCCCCTACTTCACTCGTTATATAATCTTGGCTGCATCTGAGTTTGCAACTGAACTAGATTGAACAAAATTGAGTTCACTACAAAGCATTAGCAGAAATCATTCATTTAATAATTGGAATTTGTGGCTTCCAGATTGAACTGGTCACACACATCACCAATGGCCTCTGCAGCCAAATTATTATGCATTTTTCAGCCTTTATGTCATGTGATCACCCTTGAGCATCTCACCCAGCAGGCCTCGCCTTGCCTTCCTGGATAATAAACTTCTGATTCTTCTTTTCTTCTTAGTCTCCACTGCCGATTATTTCTTCTTCTGCCTGCCATACATGTTGATGGTTCTGCCCATCCCTTCTTACACTACATTCTTCCCCTGAATAATCTTAGCAGGTCCCTTAATTTAAATAAAACCAATTCACAGAAAATTTGGAAATGTGTATCTAACCCTGCCTTCTTCTCAAAATTCCCATCACCTATATCCAAGAGTCTACAGGAGGGGTCTTCTTGCATGTTTCACAGGCACTTAAACAATGTCCAAAACTGAAGTCATCATCTTCCCCCTAAACACATAGGGTATCTTGGTCAGTGACATGTATTTATCCAAGACTGAAATCTGGAACTCAGGCTCTTCCCTGAACATTACTATTATACTTAATTGATAAATCCATCCTTGCTAAGATTAGCTTCTCATATTTCTAAGATACCCTCTGTATTTTCTCAGTTCCATCTCAGACTTCCTACCCAAAACATGGAAGCCTTTATACCTCCTCTTAAAATTCCCTCAAGGGGCTGTGGCCCCTTTTTCCCCTGCCTGTTTGTTGAATTATGATTATTTATGTAAAAACTCCTAAAAGCAGGGCCTACATATATTTAGGATGCACATCTTGAATTGCTGAAAACTAGTGAAGTATCTGGAACTTGACTATTTCTTTGATGAAAAAAACAAATAGCCTACAAAATCATCTATCAAACAGAAATAGCTGATGGTACTGGGGAATAACAGATAAAGAAAAATAATCCTCATTTTTCCTGGAATAAATGAAGACCTCCAGAGAGAAATGAAGAAAAGATCGTCTCTTCATCACATTAAGAACTCTGAAAGGGGAAAGGGAAAAGCAGAGATGGACATCATTTACTACCCTTACTCAGTCACAGTTATTAGAGCTTGTAAGAAAAGTTTGAATTCCGGCACCCAAAAAGAAAGCATCTACAACACCTCTTCTTTTTAGGATTGTTCTCTCTTTCTCAAAGTGAAAAAGGGGGCTAAAGAGATGGCTCAGGGGATACGAACACTGGCTGCTCCTGATGAGGACTCGGGTTTAGTTCCCAGCACCCACATGGCAGCCGACAACCATCTGGAACTTCAGTGCCAGGGCATTCAACCCCCTCTTCTGACCTCTGCATACGCTGCATGACATGGGTGCATTTACATACATGTACACACATAAAATAAAAATAATAAAATATAAAAATAAAATACAGTGAAAACAACATCTGAAAATTGACTAAATCATGTACAGAATAGCTCTAGATGGAAATATACACAGTCTCTAAGAGTCAAAGTGGATGGTAGAGGCCAGGTATGGAAGGGATACTAGGACACTTATACTCACTGCACCGCTTAGTACCTTTTGAAGTTTATACCATAGAACACAAATTGTTTCTTAATAAAAAAAAGTCACTAAAAACATTTTTCAGCAGTCAGGCTAAAAGGGCTTACCTCCTCCACAGTGCAATGGGGACGCCTCACGCCCCTGCCACCCTCTTCAGAAATCATCTCTGTCACACCCTGCTCGTGAGGTTTCCATGTTAAGGAACTTTCTGGATTGCATTTGCTATGGCGACGACCACTTGGTCTTCTATTATAACCTTCTGATTTCAACGTAAAACTGAGAGAGAATAAAAAAGAAAAAGAAAGGAATGTATCACTAAATTGGGACTCACACTTCTATGACTATGCTGTTGTAGGTTGGCTTGTTAGTTTCCAAACAACCATTATTAAGCAACTACGATTTGCAAAAGTTAGATCAATCCCTACAACACAAGACATCCCAGCATTCCACCAGGGAATGTCTGCTTCTAGTCAGTAGGAATACCACAGGAAAGCTTTCCTCCTGAAGGTTAGTTTTCCAACCGCAAACCCCAGATTTAGCTCCCCTATTGCGATTCCCAAATGCTAGTCAATTCTATGGGCCTAGATACTTGAGAGGTTGAGGCATGAGCTGGGCATTGTGACGCATGCCTTTAATCCCAACACAGGCAGAGGCAGTGGATCACTGTGATATAAAGGCCAGCCTGGTCCATAGTGAATTCCAGGTCAGTTGGGGCTACTGGGAGACCCTCTCTAAAAAAACTAAAAGGGGAAAAAAAAGAGGCTGAGGCACAAAAATTGCTTAGACCAAGGAGTGAAAAACTAGTTGGGCAAAATAGCAAGATGCCATCTCAATTTTTAAAAAGGTGTGGGGTATATGGCTAGCGGTATAGATCCATGGTAGAGTGTTTTCCTAGCACGTGTGAGGCCCTTGGTCAATCACTAAAACTTGAAAAGAAGAAAAAGGAAAGGGAAAGCAGGGGGTGTGTTAACAAACACTAAAGAAACTAAACAAAGTCACTGTTGCTGGTGACAAAACCTGTACACTTGCTATTACCAATAATAGCACAAATTGATATCTTGAAATATGCTTTGAAATGGATACAACAATGCTTACATAGTAATTTTACAATAGTGCACTATTTGAAACAAATTCATACTTTATTGTCATTAAAGACAAAGAAAGGGCTGGGAGTGGTGGGGTGTGCCATTGGTCCCAGCACCCAGGAGGCAGAGGCAGGCAGACTGTGAGTCCAAGGCCAGCCCACTCTATAGGATGAGTTCCAGGCCAGCCAGGTATGATACAATGTAAGAACCTATCTCGAAAGAGAGAGAGAGAGAGAGAGAGAGAGAGAGAGAGAGGCTAAGGAGGTGTTCAGTATTAAAGTAGATTGAAAAAAAAAACAAAGAACAAAAAGATAAGCAGAATGTGTGATCCTGGTCCAGCAGGGAAAAGTTATAATGGAGAAACTTAAATAAGGCCTATATATTTCATGTTAAATTTTCTAATCATATAACCTATAATTATGAAAATCAATGTCCTCATTCTTAAGAAATAAACTAAGTATTTAAGAAAAAAGGAAAGGAGTCAAAGTAATAAGTCTCAAATGGTTCAGAAAAAAAATACATGTGACAGAGATAGACAAAGTAAATGTAGCAAAATAACAGCTGGCAAAACTGGGTCAAGGTTATCTGCCTAACAGAGCTTCAGAACATGTGAAAGAAAACACACAGAGCAAAACCTGATGTGTGGAGGAGAAATATACACACAAAATTGCAGAATGCTTCACCATTCACGGTTTGCTCAATTAAAAAGGAGACAAAAGCAGACCATAAAACATATCAGCCGACTGAACCTGACTGACTTTATAGAATACTTTTTCCAGTAACAGCAGACTGTGTATTCTCAGTCACTCTCCATCTTCTCTTTTGAGACAGGGTTTCTAACTGAATTGGGGAGCTTTCCAATTCAGCTAAAACTGATTGGCTAATGGGCTCCAGGGATTCATCTATCTCTCCTGCCCCCAGTGTTGGAGTTACAGATGTGTGCAGCTGTGTTCAGCTTTTTATGGATGAGGACATGAACTCAGATCCTCACACTTGTGCAGCAAGCACTTTACCAACAAAGCTATCACCTCAACCCCAGATTTTTGAATAAAGGAATCTAACTTGAAAGATAAGACCAAAGTAAACTAAGACAGTGGGCAAGTTCAAAGGAAGTGCTGGAAAATTAAAAAAGCAGTGTCGCTGGAGAGGTAGCTTAGCGGTTAAGAAAAAGCAGAGTCAAGGCTGGGCGTGGTGGCGCATGCCTTTAGTTCCAGCACTCAGGAGGCAGAGGCAGGCAGAGGATCTCTGTAAGTTCAAGGCCAGCCTGGTCTACATAGTGAGTTCCAGGCCAGTTGGAGCTACAGGGAGACCCAAAAAAAAAAAAAAAAAAAAAAAAAAAAAAAGAAAAAGAAAAAGCAGAGTCAAAGAAATTTTAAAATAATAAACAGCTCTGAGATAAGGAAAAAGCACTGTACTTTTACAATCAAAACAAGATACCTAGAGGAAAATAAATTCATGCAGAGAGGGCTCTTAAAATTTAAAAACTATAACAACTTTAAAAACAAACAAAATCAACAACCAGGAGGCCAAAACAGGAGAATTGAGAGTTCAAAGCCAACTGGGACTACATAGTGAGTTCAAGACAGCCTGGGTTACATAGTAAGTTTTAGGGAAACCTGGGCTACATGATGAGACACTGTCTAAAACAAAACTCAAACAAAGATCAGTAAAACATGGTTTTAAAAGGACAAAGATAAGTGACTATAGAATAAAATTAGATCAACCTAGAAAATTTAGTATTCAAACAACAGGAATTCTGGAAAGTGACAATACATAAAGAGGGACAGCTAGAGAGATGGCTCAGTAGGTAATGGTGCTTGTCACTAAGCCTTACAGTCTAAGTTTAATCCCTGGAGCCTCACATGGTATAAAGAGAAAACCTGCCACAAGTTGTTTATTATTAACACACACACACACACACACACACACTCTCTCTCTCTCTCTCTCTCTCTCTCTCTCTCTAAATGCAAAAAGTATTTTTAAAGAGGAAAGAAAACGATTAATAGTAAGAACACTTCGAAGACCTGACATATTTAGTGTATAAAAGTTTTATCAAGCTATCCCTATGATTTCTGTACTTTTCTGTATGTATATCATATATAAGTCTGAAATAAAGTGATTATCAATTTTTTTTTTTTTTTTGATCTTTTGAACCAGGGTCTCTCTGTAGCCCCAGCTGGCCTGGAACTCACTATGTAGACCAGGTTGGCTTTGAACTCACAGAGATCCATCTGCCTCTGCCTCCTGAGTGCTGGAATTAAAGGCATGCACCACCATGCCTGACAAGTATCAATTCTTTTTAAAATGCTTTTCAAAACCAAATGATAATATGGTCATGTAATATAGTAGGAAAAGAAACACCCAAGTTCAAGCCTAACTAGCCATGAGAGTTATTAACCTTAGAGTGCCTACTTAACGTAAAAGAACAAAAAGTGAGCATGCCTAGCAACTGTGAACACCTAGTAAGTGCCAAGATTCCATTTACAGAAAAGCAGACTGTAATACTTACCCAAAGGAAGGCAGGACTCTGCGTGGCTGATCTCGGGTTACTGTCACTCTGATCTTCGGATAGTCACTTAGTCCATTAGGAGATTTATTACCTTTAAGAATGTATTTGTAATGGGGGAGGGGAGAACACTTTTGTGAACAGCCTGCATTCAGATAGAAAGTGTGTTAGCAGTTTACGATGTAGAACTAAATGTCTTATTTTTAAAAATTGTATTAACAGGGCTAGACAGAGGGCTCAGAGGTTAAGAGCACTTGCTGTTCTTGCAGAGGACCTTGATTTCGTTCCCAGCAACCACACGGTGACTAACAACCATTCTAACTCTAGCTCCAGAGGATCTGACACCCTCTTTTGACTTCTGCAGCCATTGCATGACATGGTACAGTCACATACATGCAGGCAATACACTCATACACATAAAATGAAAATAATAAAATATTTAATTAAGCATTGCATTAACGGCATAGTAATCCAGCGTGAGTGTTATGAAAAACTAAAGGAAAGCAATAGGAGGGCTGGGGTGCAGCTCTGTAGTAGGCACTGCCTAAACACGTATGGGACCCTGGGTCCAATTCTCAGTACCACAAAAATCGTAACAGAATTCAATTTATAAAATGTTCTATAAAAAAATCGTAACAGGCTGGAGCGATGGCTCAGCAGTTAAGAACATTGCTTGTTCTTGCAGAAGATCTGGGTTCGAATCCCAGCCCCACATGGCAGCTAACAATTGTTTGTAACTCCAGCTCCAGGGGATCCGATGGCCTCTTCTGTCCTTTGTGGGCATTGCATGTCACGGGCACACTTACCTACATGCAGGCAATACACTCATATACATACATTAAAAAAAAAAAAATCACAACAATAATTAACTGATGGTCAAATAATATGTATAAATGATACTCAATTTACATAAGCTTTTAAAAATAAGACTTCAAAGAAGTATCACCTTTGCTCCAAGTCCTTTGGAATTAGATTTTCAAACACAGACTCTTAAGGTTTAAAGTGATGACTTTGGGTGTCAAGTTGTCAAGGGGTCAACTGGTTTTCACTGTCAACTTATCTAGAACTAATACACAGGTATGTGTTTACTTATTGCTGCTCTTCTTGCCACAACTTTAATTAAAAAGTGTGAGAAGCACAGCTCGAAGGTGTGAGGAGCACAGCTCTAAGGTGTGAGGAGCACAGCTCGAAGGTGTGAGGAGCACAGCTCGAAGGTGTGAGGAGCACAGCTCTAAGGTGTGAGGAGCACAGCTCGAAGGTGTGAGGAGCACATCTCGAAGGTGTGAGGAGCACAGCTCTAAGGTGTGAGGAGCACAGCTCTAAGGTGTGAGGAGCACAGCTCTACGGCAGCATTTCCTTAGCTGCTTCTACTTTTTCTGGAATTTATTTTTATTTTATGTGTATGAGTGTGTTGCCTGCATGTATGTGAGTGCAACCATTTATGCAATGTCTGCAAAGACCATAAGAGGGCATAAGATCCCCTGGAAATGGAGTTACAAACAGTTGTTAGTCACCATGTGGGTGCTGGGAACCAAACCTGGGTCCTCTACAAGAGGAGCCAGTGCTCTTAACAGCTGAGCCATCCATCTCTCCAGCCGCTAACTTCTACTTTTGATTTCTGAACCTCAACTTCTCTAACATTCATTTTCACTAACTTCCTCCTCCTCCCAAACTCTACAAGTCTACTTGAATGGCAGATATTAAATCATTTCTCCGACTCCAGCTTCTTCTAACTTCCCCACCATCCCAGTTTGTATAGTATAAACAATAACTGTCATTCCTCTTCAAGATCTAATGGTATGGAAAGCCCTACTCCATACACCTGCAAGAATCAGGAACCTAAGGTTGCTCATCAAACAGATGGACTCCTTAAGATTGAGGACAAGGTCTTATTAGTTCTTGTTATTCCTGATCAAATAGAACAATGTGCTCGGTACATAGTAAACTCCTAGACATGTTCTTTTCAACATTTTTTTGGAGACAGGATCTCACTGTGTAACTCTGGCTGGCCTGAAACTCACAAAGATCCACCTGCTTCTGCCTCTAACTGCTGGGGATTAAAGGTGTGTACTACCACACCCAGTTAAAGATTTATTTTTATTATTTTTAAATTATATGTGTGGGTATGTGCACATAAATGTAGGTGGCTGTGGAGTGCAGAAATGGGCACTGGATCCCTGGAACTGGAGTTTCAGGAACTTGTGAGTTGCTCAATGTGGGTGCTGGGAGCCAAACTCAGGTCCTCTATAAAATCAGTACAAGTTCTTAATTGCTCAGTTATTTCTCTAGCCAGCTTTTGTTTTTTTAATCACTTGATCTAAGTCACATTAAGAACACTGAAAATACAAGAAGAAAACACAGTAGTCAACTCAGAGACAACAGTTCTAAAGGAAAGCGCTAGGCAAAACAGCCCTCATATAAAAACCTGAGTGTCGACACTGCAGTTTTCAGTTTTAGATCAGAATGCTTAACACTGGAGTCAACGCAAATATTCTAAAATCTGAAAAATTCTGAACCCTAAAATATTTCTAGGCTCAAGAACTTAAGACAAAGACCTTTCTTCAACCTGTATTTGGTTTTAAGGCTGGCAGAGACTACCTTTATTCTCACTCTAATCCAGACTGGTGGCTCCCTTTCATAAGTCTTAAAATTTTGAGGAAATGGGCAGAAAGAAGTACAGGGAAGCAAAAATATTTTTGACCACCTCACCCAGTTTAAGCATGTTGTTACAGGATCCAGAATCTGTCAGTTCACAAGATGAAGAGCTCGAAAATACCTAAAATAAAGCAGAATCGCCTCAATTTCTCAATTTAAATAGACTTCTAGTATGAAAAGCTTCTCTCTCTCTCTCTCTCTCTCTCTCTATATATATATATAAATATATACTGGCCTAGAATTCAGTATGTAGACCAGGCTGGCCTCAAACTCACAGAGATCCAGTTATTCTCTCTCTCCTGAGTGCTAGAATTAAAAGCGTGTGCCACCACGCCCGGCGCTTTACTCTTTTTGAGCTAGCTGACAGAAATAATGATATCATCAAGAGAAATATTTTGTCAAAACTGACAAAATGTTTAAAATGGTAAATAAAGGTTTTTCTTGAGGCTGGAGAGATGGCTCAGTGGTTAAGAGCACTGGTTGTTCTTGCAGAGGACCCGGGTTCAATATCCAGCACCCGACTGCAGCTAACAACTGTCTGTAACTCCAGTTCCAGAGGATCCAACACCCTCTTCTTACCTCCGAGGGCACTGCACGACACTTACATACATGCAGGCATAATAACTTATACACATAAAATAAAAATAATATTTTTTAAAAAAGTTTTTTCGCACATATTTAAGAAAAACAATATTTCTTCCTTTTTTCTTTTTTTAAACAGTTTCAAGCTACAGCCCACAAAATTTAATTTTAAAGATTTTTTTTTAAAACTAAACTTTGATTTTAATGATTAAATACAAACATCATTAGAGCTGGGGGCTGTGGCTATAACTTGGTGGTAGAATGCATGCTTAAGATGTACAAGGCCCTGGGTTCCATCCCCAATATAAAAATTAAAAAGGCCAACATCCCCAGGGGAGCCACATCCCACTGACCTCTCCTGAAGGGGCCACATTCCGTGTTCCATTACAAGCAGAAGTCACCATGGGCTTCGTGGTCAGCTGGAATGGGAATCCAAATAAGCTTGCAGCATTGTAGAGACTGGTTTTCACTTGATGAATTAAGCAATCTAGAAAGTATCAAGAAACTATAAACACAGAGCACTAAAATTCCAAAAACAAATTACATTGCATCTTGGAAAGAATCTTAGTTCTTACTAATCTTATTTTCAAACACTGAAATAAAAAGATATCTATAAAAATATTTTGGGGAGCTGGAGAGATGGTTTAGCAGTTAAGAGCACTGGCTGCACTTACAGAGAACCCAGGTTTGATTCATAGCACCGTGGCGGCTAAAAAATGTCCATAACTCTAGTTCCAGGGAATTGAATGACATGGGCGCACTCACATACATGCAGGCAATATGCTCATACACACAAAATAAAAATAAGTAAAATATTCTTTAAAAATGAGGCTGGGTGTGGTGGCGCACGCCTTTAATCCCAGCAGTTGGGAGGCAGAGGCAGGCAGATCTCTGTGAGCTCAAGGCCAGCCTGGTCTACTTAGTTCCAGGACAGCTGGGGCTACAGGGGAGACCTTGTCTCAAAAAAGACAAAAAAGATAAAATAAAAATTTAGGGCCAGTAAGATGGCGTCTGCAAGCCTGGCAACCTGAGTTTGATCCTTAGAACCCACAAAAGGTGGAAGCAGAGAACTGACACCACAAAGTTATTATCCTCTGACCTCCCATGCCTGCTGTGGTACAGTAGCACTCGCACATATATTTCTCTCTCTCTCTCTCCTCTCTCTCTCTCTCTCTCTCTCTCTCTCTCTCTCATTAACTATGTATTTGTGCATGTACACACACACACACACACACACACACACACACACTTTTCCAGTTGAATAACTAAAATTTGAGTACTGTGATTTTTGCTTTAATAAAGTCTGAGCTGCTAGAAAACATTACCTTAGCAATCACAAACTGATTCACCAAGAAATGCTCCAAAATAGCAGCTTATGAGCAGTGAGTTTTGCAGAATATACAAAATGAAGGTTACCAGACAGATGAGGGCTTAAACAAGCAAGGAACATATACGCTGCTAGGAATGGAGACGCCTATAGAGAGCACTGACATAATTACTTTCTGGTCTGCTCTTTCTTCTCAGGCAGGTAACAATATGACGGCCTCAAAACAATCATTTAAAAAGCCCCTGGTGAATCTTGGCTAAGTGAAGCATAAAACACAGAGTTCTTAAGAATCTATGAGGAGACAAAGCTACCCCTCTACTGAAGAGAACTGCTGAACAATCTCAAACCCACTTCTTTCTAGCGCAGAAGATTACAACAGCTAAGTAAATAAATAAGGAAGAGGGGCGGATTTCAGAGCTTCTCTACTTCCTGTTTTTATACTACTACCTTTTACTTCCTATACATCTATGTTGCCTACAATTTCCTTTCTATGCTCTAATTAAAGATATTGTAAAATCTCTGCTTCAGAGAAAAATAACCTGAAATGATGGCTTTAAAGCAATAGACCTCTAAAATATACACAATGTGAAATACTTTTCAGAAAGACTGGAGAATAATTCAAACAGCTAAGAAAATGTATTTCTTAGGTAAAGCAGAATGCAACTTGGAAGTAATTTAACTACTTGGAAATCATTAAAAGTACCAAAATTTGCTGAGTAAGGTAGTGTACACCTATAATTCCAGCACTCAGGAGGCTAAAGCATCCCAAGGACATAAGAAGAATCCCAAGATGGAGACCAGCTGGGCTACATATTGAGTTCAATGCTAGTGTGCCCTATGTAGGAAGACCCTATCTCAAAAACAAGGAAAAGTATTAACTTTCCAAATTAGTTGCTTTTCTTTTTGAGACTCCGAGACAATCTAACATTATTCCTACTACAATGTTGAAGGATCGTTTCTATTCTGCTTTGTTTTCTAAGTGAGAGGAAAAAGAACATTAAGAATCGGTGTTTACCCCACAGACCTGAGGACAAAGGCACTTCAGGATGAATTGTAAATAGCAGCTACTAAAAGTACTGTAATATTTTATCTTCCTAAAAATTTTGTCAAAAACTATTTTGTGTTTGTGTAGGATTTGGGTTTTTTTTTATTTTTGGGGGGAGGGGGTGGGGGGAGTCTAAGACAGGGTGTCACTATGTAGCCCCAGCTGGTCTGAAACTCACTATGTAGACTAGGCTGGTTTCAAACTCACAAGGATTCACCTGCCTCTGCCTCCTCAGTGCTGGGATTAAAGGCATGAGCCACCACACCCAGCCTCCCCTGAGTTTTTTTTAAAGGAAGACAATCCTGCCTCATTAAGACTAACTTATATTCCTGAGATTAGCCTAAATTCACCTCTTACAGTGGCTTTCACCTATAAAATCATCAGTCTACAATTAAGAGGTCTTTACCTTTTTCTCCTCTCTCCAAAGCTACTAACTGTTGTCCAATGCAAAAGTCAACAGCCAGACATGGTTACCTAGCAATTACATTTGAATTATTTAAAATTAAATTTTTGGTTCTCTAGCCAGGTGTGGTGACTCACATCTGTAATCCTGCACTTAGGAGGCTGAGGCAGGAGGACTGCCACAAGACTGAGGCTAGCCTGGACAACACAGTGAGTTCTAAGACAGCCTGGGATACTTAGCATGTCTCAAAAAGCAAACAAAAAATTCAGCTCTTTGCATTTCTTTGCATCAAACTATTCATAGATCAAGTATTCAACAGCTATCGCTGCAGCAAGACCTATTGGTCAGCACTGTGTAGACAGTTACAAAGGTATTCATTCCCTCTGCTACCCAGCTTCCTTCCTGGTTTGTATTCCCTTCTGTTTATCATTCAGGAAGTCAAACTACATATTCAATAGAAATGATGGAAGACCATATAGCAGAGGAATACCACAAATAAGCAGCTGCTATCACCAAAGTTCTCTTTTGTTTTGCAGTACTAGGGTTTGAACTTTGGCCTCCAGCTAGACAAGCACTTTACCACAGAGCTATACCCCCAGCCCTCTTTTTATGTTTTGAGACAGGGTCTCACTAAGTTGCTCAGGCCTTGAACTTGTGATTTGCCAGCCTCGACCTACCCAGTAGCAGAGATTACAGGCCTGTGTTACCAGGTCCAGCACAAGTTTGTTTTACTACATACAAATACAAGGTAATATTTATTTATATTTATCTTTTTTTTAAACAACTTACTTTTTTTTTCTTAAATATAGTTAAAAGATCATTGTAGCCAGGCCTAGTTTTTTTTTTTTTTACTTCCTAAACAAAAAGTTGCTTAGTATAAAGATACACTCAATTAAGTATTCATTTAATTTAAATGAAATATCAAGGTAGTTCCACAGTCAACTATCACATCTGGAATTCACAATTCACAATCACTAATGAAAAGATGACTATGTTACAGTACCCTACTGTCCCTTTTCCCTTTGATCTAGTTTTATTCTCTTCTAACCCATTAGATACAGGGAAGTAAATGACTTGTGACAACAAATTAGATTGTTTCACTCAGCCAGATGAATTTGATCACTCAGTTTGAACTGGTTTCCTCCTCCTCCTCCTCAAAAAAGAATCTTTATTACAGAAGGATTTAGACTTTTAAAACACACATTCAATATACCTGGAAAGGTACAAGCAGTTAGCTTCAGAAAAGACAACAGGCAGGAAAGGAAGAGACCAAGGCATACTTTTCATTGCACGCATTTTTACTTTTTGAATTTTATTCCATGCATGCATTTTTCCTACTAAAAAATGAATTTTTAAAATTCAGTACCTAATCTTGGTCTTTTAGCTGGTATTTCATCAGTGTCCACTGTAGTAGAAAATAGAGTGCTGTAAAGAAAGAAAAAAAATATGTGAATAATGTTCATTTCTACAAACGAACTTACTGTTCAGGGCTGGAGGTGTGGTGTAGTTGTTTAGCAGGTAAAAGATCCTGGGTTCAAGCCCTAGCACCAAACAAACAAAATTCACTTTTTTCATAAAATGAGATGCAATTTGTTAAAGAGAATTCTGTTCCTAAACCTTAAGACCACAAATGCCCTACCACATAAAAATCTGTAATGTGGTAAATTTTGAAACAGTAACCCCAAAGTAAGCCATCTTTTACTTGAAGTGACAATATAAGGAGCCTTAAAAGACAGTTGTGAGCTAGAGGAAAAAAAAAATGTGTTTAATTGCTCTTCTCTCCACATCCTCCCCATCCCCAGTGCTGGGGACTGAAGACAGGACAGACATACTAGACAAGCACTTTACCACTAAGCCACATCTCTAGTCCCTTTAGAAGATTTGAGTCCCTAAAGTGTAGTGAAGTATAGGGATTTGATCACCAAACTGTTGGACAGGCAGCTAGAATTCAAGGCTAGCCTGGGCTACACACAGACACAGAGACTGACAGACAGACAGACAGACAGACAGACACACACACACACACGGGAGGGGGAGAGTGTTGAATGAATGAGAATGAGAGTAAGGAAATTAATAGACCCTATTCAATAAACTTTCACTAAGTGTTTAAGCATTACCAGATCCTGCATAAGACACTTCGGATAGAATAAACAAACTCTGTCCTTTCATATATTAAATATCACTTTAGGAACTTTATAACATCCTAAATGATTCTAAACTCAATCTCACTGAAAGGTAGAAACCTTGTATATCTGGAATTCATACAATTAATAATCAATTTCATCCACAAACTAGTCTCAGAATCCACATAAGTCATTTTGCTCTCTCTACCTGATCTTTTGTGAACTTCCCTTGATTGGAGGCATAATAAAAATAAATGAAGCCAGGCCTAGGAAAGAAAGGAAGGAAGGGAGGGCAGTAAGGAGGGGCGGGGAAGGGAGACTTAGGAAGTGTACTGAATTTATACAGCATTTTGTTTTCCAGATAAATCCTTAGTTGAGGAGGTAGGGCTGAGTAACATCAATTTGTAGAACCCTTCAAATTTTAACCGAATGTTAGAGTACCTATTCTACCTCCCACACTCGGGCCAAAGAACACAACTATTCTCCCCGCTCTGGCCCCACACACACACAGTGACAGCTGCTGTAAAACAAGGCAGCTGCTGTTTCTCGGGGCTCAGAGAACAGTTCTGGCAGTCCGATGACTTCGGGCAAACTCCGAACGTCTCGGCTCCTCACTGCACTTACAGTCGCAGGGACACTGGGAACAGTGCTGTCAGCAGCAAGCCACAGCGCCGAGAGCGCTCCGCTTTCCCTAGGAAGCCCGAGCCGTCAACACTACAAAGCCAGACTGCGGGGTCCCGCGAGCCCCGAAGGCCCGTCACCGCGGCGGGGGAGGGGCCTGCCGCGCTCTCACCTGCTGGAGCGCCGCCTCTTGAGCTGGGCGCGGGCCCGGGGCGCCGGCCGCTCGCACACGCGGAGAATGGTGCCGAGGAGCCTAGCCAGCCATCTGTACATTCCAGGCCCCAGCAGCAGCGGTGGCCACACACCCCGACAGGCGAACGCGGGCTACCGCCACCGTTGCTACCTCGGGTGCTCCGGCCCCGGCGGCCTGGCCTCAGTCGCTGGCTTGTGACGCCATCCGAGGTCCCAGAGCTTTAACGTTCGCTGGACTCCGGGAGGTCCCCGCCGCTGACGTCACCTCCTCCCACCCAACCGGAAAGCTGCAGCCTCAGTCTGCGCGCGCGCAAGCCAACCCTGCCCTCTGCAAGCCTAGCAACGAGAAGCCGGCGGGATCGTTCCAGCGCGAGTGCGGACGTGATTGGCAGGCGTGTGGGCGGAGCTTTCTCTTCGGCCGAGCCAGTCTGGAGTCCGCCATGGGACGAGGCCCAGAGACCACGTGTAGCATCGCCTGGCTATGGGAGCTATGAGCCGCAAAACAGTGGGGGCTCTGCAGATGCGTGCGCATGACAAAAATGGGTCCGATTAATTGTTTGATGTGGGCTGGTGAGATAACTCAGCAGTTAGGAGCACCGGCTGCTCTTGAAGAAGTCGTGGGTTCAGTTCCCAGCACCTGCATCGTGGCCCTCCAATTTCAAGGGGATCCAGTGCCCTCTTCTGGCCTCCTCGGTCACTGCATGTACGTGGTGCGCTTAAATACTTGCAGACAAACATTTGTACACATAAAATTAGAATAAAAAAACAAGTGTTGGGACTGGAGAGATGGCCCAGCGGTTAAGAGCACTGACTGCTCTTACAGAGGACAGGGTTCGATTCCCAGCACCCACATGGTGGCTACAAACCGTCCTTAACTCCAGTTCCAGGGGAATCCGAAGCCCTCTTCTGAAGCCCTCTTCTGACCTCAGCGCTGCATTGCACGACACGGGTGCACTCACATACATGCAGGCAATACACTCATGCACAAAAAATAAAAATTAAAAAAACCCAAGTGTTTAACATTCTTAGCCCTTTATTTTGCATATCCCTTGGCTTCAATTTTACATAGTTGTCATAATGTCTCTTAGCAACCAAATGCAATAGGAAGTCATAGAAACCAAAGAAACCATAGCTTGTCATAGAAACCAAAGGCATATAGCAATTAAATAATGTGCCTAAGATCACTGGAGTTTCTAACCAGGATTTAAGTACTAGCACCCATCCCATCGACTGGGAAAGCCAGAACATAAATAGTTACAAATTTGAACACCTGATAATTACCTGCTGTGATAAGGGAAAGAAAAACCAAATACTGAAGAGGGGGACAGAAGAGCACAACTCCTTAGGACAACCTCAGAGAAACAAGGAAGCAAAGATACCTATGGTCTTCCCTGGGGTGGCAGGTGGCCAGTCTCATTATCCTCTCTGTGACTCGAGGTCACACTTCTAATTATGCGCTGTGAAAAAGTCCCACACACTTCATGTTTGGAAATCCACTCTCCTGTAAACAGTTCTGAGAATCCTGCAAACCCTTCCTTGATTGCACTTGCCTGTGTTTCAGCTAAGGCCAGACTTTTGGGCTTGCTTGAACTTCAACCCAGGTGCTCCCAGTGCAGATTCCTCCCCTCAACAGTAGTAACATTCTGGAGTTCTGCTGAAAGCCATCCACCTGAAGCCACCAGTACTCTGACCTGAAGTGATCAGCAGAAACTAGTCCTAAGTGTGGACTTAGGCACCTCAATTCCCCCAAAACATACTGTACTGAATGTATTAGGAAATTAGGAATAAATTAAGATGGATATTAAGAGTGACTTTGAAATGAAACTAGAAACTAGGAACTTCTCGGCTTCTCAGTCTCACTTATCACTTCACACAGAAACTATGTGAAACTGTGTGGAGCAGATGGGTGGACTTTAGAGTCGATACTAAGTAGCTTTAATGCCTGTGTGTGATAGGTAAGTAATCATATGGGAGAAGCCATATCTCAAGAAACAGCTAAAGTTACTGACCTAAGTCAGAAGGACTCCAGCCAAAAACATACAAAAACTGACAGCTCGAGGGCTTCATCGATGCTTGGCTACACGAGACACTGACTCTGTGAGCCTCATGCCGACGCATTGCCCGAGAGACCGAAGTCCTGTCCAAGGCCAGGCCGAAATTCTGTTTGAGACCAGATCGAGAACTCCGACAGAATCTTGGTCTGCTCTAAGATTGGAGAGAGCTTGCCATCACCAGACGTGATCAGATCCTGTGAATTGACAGCTCCAGCCAGGAGAGTGCAGTGATCACGGCGGACGCTGAGTGACTCCACACGGAGCACTGGAAGCACTAACCTCTGGAAGATATTCCCTTGAGACTTTGGGACTCTGAATTGCTAGAGGACCGGGTTCCCCCTTGAATGTTTGTGTTGATGTGTATTGTTATCCTTTAACTGTGTGATAAATACATATTGCAACCAATCAGTCGTGTGGAGAGTCTCTTCTGTTCTGTATGCGCCTGTCCTAAGCTCTCCTGAGAAGCAGTGACACACTCTGGGTGTCACACTCAGGACAGTTACTGTCAAGTAACTGCCCTACTCAGGACACATACCTAACACCAGTTTGTTACGGAAAGCTTGTATAGGGATGCTGTAACTTTATTCTTTCCCACTGAGGCTTGATAATCTTCGTCTATGTGATAAACTACCAACAAAGAAAAGCATAATGAACTTGTTAATATGCAAAAATCACAGGAGCCACACACAAGGTGAGACAAAGTTGAAGTTTAGAACTAACCAAGGGGAAAAGAGGAAGGACTTCTAAAAGAATTGGAGCTGGTGATGGAAGTGGGAAGTGCAGAGAGGGGGGAGTCCTTTTTAAAGTTGTGTGTGTGTGTGTGTGTGTCTGTGTGTCTGTGTCTGTGTCTGTGTGTGTCGTGCACAGGCATGCTTGCACAGATGTGAGAGGACAACTTTTTTGAGTCAATTCTCTCTTTCCACTACCATGTGTTCCAGGGATGGAACTGAAGTCATCAGGTTTGAGGAACTTTTACCTGCAGTCCCATCATGCAGATAAATTTTCCCAGGCAATATGTCAAACCCCTAATGTGTCTGTCAGTCTCCTGTGTGTTTACTGGGGATCAAAGCCAGGACGTGAAGGCTGCTAGGTAAACACTCTAATTAGCAAACCCCTCATTCTTCCAATCTCCTGATGAAAAGATCTTTTCTGGAGAGAAGAAGATACCAAAAAAAAAGCCTGTTACATGCACTGCTTTCTTCAGTAATATAGATTTCCTTCGTAATGTAACTTTCTTTTACTTTCTTGCAGGTTTTTAGAGTTATTCTTGTCTGCAGTTTCTCAGAATGGCCATCTTGAAATACACCAAAGAAATACTCTTCAGGGTGGCATATTTCTGGGTTGAAAGGTAATGACAGGAGAATTACAGACCTGAGAAGCATTGATGTAGGAGTTTTAGAAAGGAATTGGGACTTTCTCTTGCCCATTGTCTCCCAAAGGGACCTCCCCCATGTGCAATAAGCCATCTCTCATTCTTCTCAACATCTGATGGTACAGGGAAAATGAATGTCCAAAACTACCTCCACCCTGCTCAGGCTGGTCTTCCAGTGTACTTAATGTGAGCCTAGACCCCAAAGAAGACAACTGTTGGCATTGTTATGCAGAGCTTATGTATGAACCATCAGTTCCACTATGAAAATTGGTCTTTGCTGTTAGCAAACCAAGAAACCCACCAAGTATTGAAAGCAGATTCTCCAAAGGGAAAGAGTAGTTTTCCTTTAAATGTCAGAAAACTACAAGTTGCTTTTGAATAGCAGCCTTTTTTGAGTCTAGTCATCAAAAAGTAAGATACATCAAGATCAAGTTTCAGGGTAATATCATGAGATTATCATTTTTTTTTTGTTGCCTCAGTAACAGTTGCACAAATGTAATATTAAACTCTGGGTATGGTGGAACATGCCTATAATCATAAAACTTGGAAGCTGAGGCAAGAGGGTCCCAAATTCTAGGCCAGGTTGGACTACATAAAGAAACAACATCATGCTGGGCATGTTGATACATGCCTTTGATCCCAGTACTCAGAAGGCAGAAGCAGGGGGCAGTCTCTCTGAGATCCAGGTCAGCTTGGTCTACATAGCGAGTTCTGGATCAGCTGTGACT